TTTTCACATAATTGATATCTCAGAGATAAGAAACCAAGAACAGAGGTGTTTTTCAACCCTTCCCAAAGCAAAGCCCATCACCCCCGTCTGGTTGTGTCTCAAATCTTCATGTTTCAGAACCATTGGGGTGCTTAGAAAATTCAAGATGGTCCCTAGGAGTTACACCACCGTAAATCGACTCCGAATCCCCTGGAAGGGGGCCCAGAAATCTGCATTTTTGACAGGCTCCCAAAGGTGATGCATTTCCCCATAGCATTTGAGAATTTCAGCTTAGTGACCTAATCAGGGTCCTGTGTTGCTCACAACTGGTTTAGTATACTTTATCTCTTGGCTACTTTGATCCATTTTGAAGAAAAAAAATGCTCCTCTTATTAAGCTGTTTTAGAACACAGTAATCATGTCATGTGCTAATTATGGCCGGTGACATCATAAAATAAAAGTGCATTGCTGAATGCTTTCAATTTCTTATAATGATGGTAAGGTGGCATGTCATGGGGCCTTTTTAGCCCCAGACATCGTTCCAAAGAATTCCAAACAGATATAGACAAGTGCCCTTAGGGCCCGGATCCTTTTCTCTCTCTCTCTCTCTCTCAATCTGTTTACCCACAGAATAGGATGTCCTGAGGCAAACTTCCCCCAAGAGAAGTGTTGATAAGTCTGGTTATCAGAAAGATATTACTGGGGGTGTGATGTGTAGATCATCTACATTTTCTTGATAGGTTAGTCATATGAAAGCTGACAAAGAAAAAAAAGGGGGCAGCGAGGTGGTGCAATATCAACAGCCAGCTGTCCCCTGCCTCTCGACAAATCGGATGACTCACATTGCTGAGCGGTGTGATCACTGCCAGAGGAATGGCCCTCTCACATTTCTTCCTGATTCACAGATTCAGCGGGGCTTGTCATTCCCTCCCTCTTAGGCTTCCCAGACACTGAGTCTGGAATGAAAATTCACCTGCCTCTGAGTTGGCTCCTGGTGGGGGCGGGGGTGTTACTTAGGTTCCCAGGTTGGAAGATTATCTCACCCTGTCCCAGCTATATAAGCTGACCAGCGTGGAGGGGCTCAGCAGGGCCAACTCCAGGGATTCCTTCCACAGGAACAAAACACACGGACACACTTTTCAGTCAACATGATGATGCTGAAAGTAGAGGACCTGGTATGTAAGACTCAATATTTTCACCAAATGAAAACTAGTTCATCTTGGCTTTCATTTGAAAATTGAAATGACCTTTCTTTCAGGCTTAATGCAAGGGAACTCTGAAAATGTCATATATGGGAAAAAGTTGGTTTATGTGATGAAACAAGTAAAATTGGGGGAAAAATTGAGCTGGCAGTAATGAATTCTCTGTGCATTTCCTATTTATTATCATCTCCTTTGGTTTTATTACTGTAGTGTGGAATCACAGATGGTTATCAAAATGCCTCAGGGAAGAAGTTTTATTGCATGAATATAAGCCTGGAAACTTTACAACTCAAGGTCAAGAGTCATCAAAAGAACCTAAAATGAAGAAGTTTTAAATAAGAGAGGGTTTGTGATTTTCCTAGGAGAAATGTGATTAAGCAGATTAGAAGTAGTTTTCAATATGTCAGCCTAACCTAAGTCTTGAGTTAAACAAAAGAGTAGGACAACTGCCTGAAGGTAATCCTGGGATATCTTCAGCCTGAGATGGAAGAGCACCCTCGTAGAGGTGGCTGGACCCAGAAGAGGATCAAGACCCTCCCGCAGCATCGTCCTTGGGACGATGGACACTGCTGCTTCTGAGCCTCAGGATGGACACTGCTGCTTCTGAGCCTCCCATCTTCTTCTCTCGTAGGTCACAGGGAAGAAGAACAGCAATGGGGAGGCAGGGGAATTCCTTCCTGAGGATTTCAGAGATGGAGAGTATGAAGCCGCTGTTGCTTTAGAGAAGCAGGACGATCTGAAGACACTGCCAGCCCACCCTGTGACCTTGGGTGAGCAACAGTGGAAAAGTGAGAAACAACGAGAGGCAGAGGTGAGAACCTTCCATAGACCCCGCCAGTGGGAGGTTCGGACTGGGTGGGGGATGGAGGGACCAGGAAGGAAGAAGAGAAGAAACATGTGCAACCATTCCAAGGATGTTTCTGTACTAAATTCTTTTTTTATTCTATTGTTTTTTATTATTATTGTTAATTTCAATAGCTTGGGGGGGGGGTACAAGTAGTTTTGGGTTACATGGATACATTGTATAGTGTGAAGAAGTCTGGATCTGTACCAAATTCTAATCCATAGAGAGGCAACTTATATGGAACAGGTTTTGGGAAATAATTCTTGACAAGACTATGATCTCTGGTTTATGAATCAATGATTCAGCATGCTAAGACCATGTTTTGATGGAAAGAGACACGTGTCCTATAAATTTCTAATGTTATACATCATGTAGTTAATCCCATGCAAGGGAGATCTCTTCTCCATTGTGTGGTTTGTGATCATTGTTTGACTGCATCTGCTATCTGTGTTGACACAATCTGTGTTTCTGGGTGAATTTTCCTTACTTATCATCAAAGATAAAATGTGCATTAGTTAGTTGTAGCTCCTGGACAGTCTGTTTTAGAGGCCTTGCTTAGGGGGATACCTAAAAGAGATTGACATCGATATTTCAGAATTTACAACTTATTGTTAGATCATTTGGGGTTAAAAAAACATTAATTTTTGAGCATGTTAAAAAATCTATAGAAATCTAAGACTTGTTTATGGCATTTATTACACAATCATCACGTAGAGACTGGATGGTGTCTCCAATTAGTCAAGGACTGGTTCTACAAGCAAGAGGAGTCAAGATGACAGCAATTAATTAGTTGAAAATTAGGCCCCCAAATAAATTCTTGAATGAGAAATCCCTAAGTTTAAGTCAAAGATTTATTTAAAGTGGTTTTTTTTTACTCAGACTGTTCATATACTTATCGCAGACCTTGCAGATATAGTTTAGACACCACCAGAATACTTGTCAGTAGAATTCACCATAGTTTTGAAATATGGATTTTTTTTTTAGCTTAAAAAGAAAAAACTAGAACAAAGATCAAAGCTTGAAAATTTAGAAGACCTTGAAATCATCATTCAACTGAAGAAAAGGAAAAAATACAGGAAAACGAAAGTTCCAGTGATGAAGGAACCGGAACCCGAAATCATAGTAAGGGCTGTTTGGTTTCTAGCAACACGATGTCTAGTGTTGTGCTCCAGGGAGCCAATGTCTGTGAAGGGTTTGATTGAATGTTGGCAAGCTCACGGTAGCTCTCATACTATTTTTCTGGCTTCAGACAGAACCTGTGGATGTGCCTCGGTTTCTGAAGGCTGCCCTGGAGAATAAACTGCCAGTAGTAGAAAAATTCTTGTCAGACAAGAACGATCCAGATGTTTGTGATGAGGTAAGGCTCGTCCAAAGCACTGCAAAACCCAGTTCATTAATTTTATGTTTCTTATGCTTTGCTTCAACCTCACTAATAGGGTGCCAAAGTCTTTCCACCTGAAACAGTTTCCCCAGCTGTTGCTGCATATGCCAGTAGACTAATAGGAGAGTGCAGTGGTCCAAAAGCAAATAAATAGATTCCGGATCAGCGCTGTGGATTGCAACGTTTCTTGCCTTCATATACACCTGGCTGATTTTTCAGCTTGTCTTTAACTTCTGAGATCCTTGGGATAAGACTTTTAACAAGAACCAAAAAGTCACCTTAGTAGAAATATACTATTAGTCTCATCTTTTCTAGGACTCAGATATCAGCACTAGAGAAGAAATCTGGAGACCTAATGTCAAGGACCAGCTCAACCATGATTTGGTTATTTGATTTTTTTTTCTTTTTCTTTTTTTTTTTGTTGGAGTCTCATTCTGTCACCCATGCTGGAGTGCAGTGGCATGCATGCTCACAGTCATCCCAGCATCGACCTGCTGGGCTCCAGTGATCCTTCCGCCCCAGCCTTCCAAGTAGCTGGAACTACAGGCACATGCTACCATGCCCAGCTAATTTTTGATTCATTGTAGAGACGAGGTCTCGCCAAGTTGCCCGGGCTTGTCTCGAACCCACGGGCTCAGGCAATCCACTCGTCTCGGCCTCCCAAAGTCCTGGGATTACAGGCTGAGCCACTGAGCCCAGCCACTGTTTGATTTTGAGCAGCTAATTTGCATTCTCTGGGACTTCATTTCTTTATCTGTAAACAGAGCATTGGAATGAAATAATGGCTAAAGATGTTCCAGCTCTAAAAATCCATTACCCCACCCATAGGAAGCCAATTTTTCAGAAATCACTAATCCTTTGGTATTTTTTATCCCATAAACTGAAATTGGGGACCATTTCTGAAGTAAAACTAAAAATGATTCTCCCATTCTCTTAAAAATGAATGGAATACCTTTTGATATTCAGCCTAGCAACAGTCCTGGATAGAAGAAAGCTGATCTGCAACAAATACTACCCAAATCAAACAAGGAAGGTGCAAAATACAAGAAAGAGAAATGCTAACATTTGTGTAGTTTTGAGCCCTTAAGTTGATCTCAATGTAGGCCTTTGAACACTTGGAAACGTACATTTCGGGAAGTTCAATTCTTAGTTGCAGGATAATTGTTCTAATTCTGTAATTTTATTTAACTTAAACATTTCTAATTCATAAAGAAACTCTCAAGTTTCTATCAGGTCATCAGAGTCCCCGACTTCATATCTCTTAAAAGGATTTATGCACATTTCTTATACGCACTTCTCTCTTTTTAATTTCTGTTCTGACAGTATAAACGGACAGCTCTTCATAGAGCATGCTTGGAAGGACACTTGGTAATTGCGGAGAAGTTAATGGAAGCTGGAGCTCAGATTGAATTCCGTGATATGGTAAATATATTTCTTTGCTTGGAAATGAGCCAAAATAAGTAAACCATATGAAGCAAAAGCAAAACAAAACAAAACAAAACAACAACAAAAACCTTCAATGAAAATTGGGCTGATTGGATTGAAAATTGGTCTAAGAGAGCTAGGCAAAAACTCATTTCTCCAGACAAAAGAAAGTTGGGAGACGAGACTAGGTCATGTGGAAAGTATTTTCCATACATCCTGAAAAGAAGAGGAATGTTCCAGGGAAAGGAAGGAAGTGAAAGCTGTTGAACGGAATCCAATATTCTCATCAGCAAGCTGGTCATTCATTATCAAGTCAGTGGCATTACTGAATTACTGAGAAATAATGCAGCTGACACACCTTTCGACAGCCCTGTCCTTCCATTGTACAGAGCGACCTGCTGGTGGCCCCTTGGCTGCCAGCAACATAGAAGAATTCTCTGGCTGCACACTTTATATGATAGATGCCGATTGTCATTGATGAGATTTGGGGCTAGACTGCATACAAAATGAATTGCATCAAGTAGCTGCTATTCAGACCTCAATAATTCAATCACTGTGATTTCTACAAAGACCTGTGTACAGCATAATTTATGAACTGAATACTGAACTGGGAAAATACTTTATGTATTTAAAAGCAGCTCAATTTGACTTTATAGCAGAGTGAAAAGGGGCTATCAAAGAAATCCAAAGGACTTGGCCAAAATGGAATCCCAAACACACATTGAAAAAAATGAAAGAAGCAAGAAAATAGAAAGTTTGCATGGAAAGATGCTAAAATAATGAGTGTGGGATTTGGAAGGCCAGGGGCACGACAGATAGAGCAACGAGGAGGGAGTTTCCTGGGAGTTAGGGCCCTACACAGTGAACACAGGAGACAAGAGCTGAGGTCCAGAGGCTCTGCTGACATAAATGAGAGAACACACAGGAGATGGAGAAAGAGCAGCACAGGCCCCAGATGAAGTGTCAGATCCAGATTAAAAATACATTGGAACCGGGCTTGGTGGCTCAAGCCTGTAATCCCGCACCTTTGGGAGGCTGAGGTGAGTGGATTGCCTGAGCCCGCGGGTTCGAGACCAGCCTGGGCGGCGAGACCTCATCTCTACAATAAATCAAAAAATCAGCCGGGCATGGTAGTGCATGCCTGTAATTCCAGCTACTTGGAAGGCTGAGGCGGAAGGATCACCGGATCCCAGCAGGTCGAGGTTGCGGTGGCCGGGAGCGGCCACTGCACTCCAGTCTGGGCGACAGAGTGACTCCAATTCAAAAAAAAAAAAAAAAATACATTGGGTCAGGAGCAGTGGCTTAATTCTGTAATCCCAGTACTTTGGGAGGCCGAAGCAAGAGGACTGTCTGAGCCTGGGGGTTCAAGACCAGCCTGGACAACTTGGTGAGATCTCGTCTCTACAGCAAGTCACAAAAATTAGCTGGGTGTGGTGGCGTGCGCCTGTTGTTCCAGCTACTTGGAAGGCTGAGGCGGAAGGATAGCTTGAGCCCAGCAGGTCAAAGCTGTGGTGGCTGTGAACATGCCACTGCACTCCAGCCTGGGCGACACAGTGAGACTCCAACTAAAAATGTATATATATATATTATATATAGAGAGATAGATCAATCTTGGAAGGTACTACTTTGATTCCACCAGAATTTTCAAATACATGTGTCTAGAACTTCTGAGTACAGTTGGCAAAAGTGGTTAAAAGTTCCAGGTAGGTGTGGATTTGAGTATGCACTCTGCCACTTATTAATGGTGTCTCCTTGGGCTAGCAAGTTGAATTTTTTGGAACTTTGTTTCCTTTACCTGCAAAAATGAGCATAGTAAATCTGCTTCGAAATGTTGCTGGAAGGATTAAGGTGCCTAGTGTGTATAGTGCTTTGTTGTTCTGAGGAAATTCTCAACAAATGACCATTCTTATTTTTTTTTTTGAGTTGGAGTCTCACTCTGTCACCCGGACTGGAGTGCAGTGGCCGCTCCCGGCCACCACAGCCTCGACCTGCTGAGTTCTGGCGATCCTTCCGTCTCAACCTTCCAAGTAGCTGGAACTACAGGCGCGTGCTACCACGCCTGGCTAATTTTTTGATTTATTGTAGGGATGAGGTCTCGCCAAGTTACCCATGTGGGTCTCGAACCCGCGGGCTCAGGCAATCCACTCACCTTGGCCTCCCAAAGCGCGGGATTACAGGCTGAGCCACCGAGCCCGGCTCATTTTTATTATTTTAAAAAATGTATTAGAGTTATAAAGAGCCTCCTAATGATACACACATGTGCACATAGATATAGTGTAGCTACAACATTTGGCAAGAACCTTCAACTCCAGGAGCTGGAATTGACAATCTAGCTGGGAACAACCCATTGCCATCACGCATGCTGTAGCAACTTGGGTTCTCCTGGTCTTAGACAGCAAGTACTCATTCCTCTGACATATTCTCCTTTACATTGTTGTGTCCTTTTACCTCCTGTTATAGCTTGAATCCACTGCCATCCACTGGGCAAGCCGTGGAGGAAACCTGGATGTTTTAAAATTGTTGCTGAACAAAGGAGCAAAAATTAGCGCCCGAGATAAGGTATTTCTCCTCCTCTTTCTTTTCTCCACTTCCCTTGCCCTGCCCCACTCCTTCTTCTTTCTCCTCCTCTTCTTTCTTCTCCACTCCCTCCTCCCCATCCTCTTCCTCCT